TAAACATTACAGACAAGAGAACTGCTCTTTTGGCATACCATTAATATGTAGCTTCTATCTTAGATACGGAGTCATAATGTGAGGTAATTTAGTAGATATCGATAGGACATTCATAGCTCTAAAACAATGTGTACGCTCTTTGTGTAAGTTATTTATAGAAACAAGTTGTAAACCATATTTTTTGACTTTTAGATTATTGCAAAGCAGTAGTTGACGGCTGCTCGAATTGATAATAAATTATCGAAATATGTGAAAGACGCTTCACTCAACCTATTTCAGAAAAACCTGATAAAATTCTTAATGCATAAAATTATCACTTTGTCCATGACCATATTTGGTTAACAAAATGCTGTAATAACAAGTTCCCTAAAAGTTTTTTCTGTATTCCTAAATATATATTTTTTTATAATAATGTTGACATAGTTTAAATTTTTTGACACTTGTTAATGGTTATAATAATTATGTATTACTAAATAAGTATGATTTTTATTCCATGTATTTAAATTTAATAATTAATTAAGAATTTTCATAAAGGATATTTTTCAATATAGCATTGTGGATGCAAAATTGATAAAATATAATATTTAGAACAAATTTTCATCTTTATCGAAAGTTTAAATATTTGTAAAAATATTTCTTTCGGCTGCTTGGGTGGATTGGCTGAACGTTGATGAAATTACACTCTGTAGTGGCGAAAAAGTAACAAGTGCTTAAAAAATTCTGCCAGTCTTGTTAGGTCCCGGGTAGCTCAATCGTGAGAGCAGTCACCCAGATTGCGAAAGATCATGGATTCAAGTCTCAGAGTGCCAGGTACGGGGTGGATTTATTAAGCATTTTTCATTAATAATAATTAATATGATATTTGCATGCTAGTGTAATAGCGAAGTGAGCTGAATTATAATTGCTCTGCTATCTATTATTGCACTTCATTTAAAAGCAAATAATCGATAATAATATTAATTATTATAAGTACATATAGATATATTGAAAAACTAAAAAAATTAAATAGCAGGAAGTCGCAAAAAAGTTACACAAACAATATTACATGACAAGTGATAGCTAATGGATGAACACCATTAAACGTTATGATAACATCGTGACCGGACAGAAAGAGATGAAATAAAAATAAACATTAAATAAAAACCATAAAAATAACGATATTGTAACCGTTTCTTTTTTTAATGAATTATCATTTGTACACTAACATTATAGTTTGAGATAAAATTTAGCATTCCATATTGTTGCTACATTGCCTCTAAAGTTTGACATATTTTCATCAATATTTTTTAATTTCTTTGGTGCTCGGCCAAAAAAAATTAAAAAAATACTTTAAAGCACGTGTGCAGTAAAGGATTTCAGTACATTTTTATTTAACACGTGTTTAAAGACTCACTTTCGGTGTTTACAATTGATTAAAAAAATAGCGCTTTATGAGCAACTGCATCGAAAAAATATTTTTTTCTTTTTCTTTGTCACGTTTATTGAAGAATATTAAATACGTTTTTTTTTTGCGTAATCAATAAATTACGGCTATACATTGAAGTTGAAATGTCTCATGACGTCACGCTTTTGTACATTTTCTTTAAAACTGTAACGTAGCAAGCCCTGACGGACTAAATACAATTTCTTTTTTTTTTACCTAGTCGTCATCCTTGTTTCGTGTGAAATTCGTTACCGATAATGGTCGAAAAATCGCTCGGATATTCGTAGTGTTGAAGTTACAAAGCTCTGCTTTATCAAATGTATAACATTTAAATTTATATGTTAATAGATTTCTTTACAAGAAATGTTTAATAATGAAAAAACTTTTTAAAAAGCTGCTATTATTCCTTTATGCAGTTTAATATAACAACTATCTAGTATTACTTCCTTATTTATTTCCAAGAAATAGAACCTTTGAGATAAATCCGTTTTGCATAACTGAAACCAATTTATGTTATTATACTGTTGATGAATGGTTATTAAAATGTCATTTTCTGTTATATCATTATGATAAATCTAGTTATATTTCGGACTTATCAGTTTTTGCGAACACGAAAGTAATAATAGGAACATTACAACTTTTTCGACGCAATCTTTCTGATCTTGAATGTCAGCGGAGGTAAGTAGTTATGCAAACTTTATACGATCACAAAAATAATCGTTTAATATGAAAATTAAGTTTGTATCTATTAGTTTTAAAAATAAATTAAATTATATTTGTTACACACACAAAGTAAATACAAACAATACTGGAGTACTTTTTATTTATTGAAATTTAAATAGAAGTAACGTATGTTCACCACACGTTTCCTTTTAAAATAGTTTTGTTGTGTTTCGTTCAGATAATTATATTTAATTTATATTTCGAATTTCTGTATATAAAACAAGTTTTGATATATTTGCAAATGCTTAAAAAATAAACCTTTTCTCTCTTTTCCAGCTAATTTCGCTTTCCGCGCTTCTGTAAGTGCGAGGAAATTAGCTAAATGAGAAAGAGAAAAAAAGCGCGGTAAATTAAACAAAGTATGTTCACAGGAACATACTATGTTTAATTTTCATATCCATATATAAACTTAAAATTATAAATATCGTTCGTTTAAAACCGTAATACAAATCTAACGTAACCCACAGGTTCATTTTTCTTTAAATTAGAATGACATACTCATAAGTCATAGGGATACAAGTAAAGCCCAGGACGCCCACAGGTATATTAAACCTGTAACGGTGTGCCGTACCACCGTTTATTTTGTCCTGGGTCCACATGCAAACTTTTTGTCTTTTATTATCAATATCATTTCTTTTTATTATTCATATTTCGTAATTTAAAATTTTGACTAATCAAATATGAATGTCAGTTTGTAAAAAAATCTGCTTTGTGAACATGTTATTACCGTAAATCGTATAAATTTAAATATAAAATATTATATGAAATTGTTATGATTAAAATAGAAATTATATATTAATTAAAATAAAATTATATGTTGAAATATCGTCCAAGTTTACGTATCACGGCAAACCCAAAAAGGCCCTTTACATATTTATCATAAAACAATTCTCAAGCTTAGTCAGCCTTTCATTAATTCGCCTAAGCAACGAACACGTCACAAACCTACGATAGTTTGCGTTGCGAGTCAAATAATTTGTCTTAATTAACTACAAAATCGATAGAACTGACATAAGATTTATATATAAACTGGCGATAACAATTTTACGTCGACATATAAAAATATAGTAGAGACGTCAAAAGAGTCAAGAGATTCACAGTTCTTGTACATAACTTACTTATATTAGGGCCTAGGGCAATTTAGACCACAGAATGTTCACATGAAATAATACAACAAAGTTATCACTATATCTATTCACACGATTTAAGTACGGAACTATCCGATGAATATTTTATATTATATTACACAACCACGAGATTATAATTTCACGTACACTTTTTTACTCTCGCCAATACTATTTTTATTGATGCTCATCTATACTTATATTATAAAGACGAAAGATTTGATTGTTAGACATTTGTACTGAATAGGCTCAAAAACTACTACAGGATCTATTTTGAAAAATTCTTTCACCTACGGGAAGCTACATCATACGCGGATGACATAGACTATAAATTTACTCGGGCGATGTCACGAGAAATCAGTTAATTACGACATAATTTATTTCTAAAAACATTAGACAAAATAATTGTCCCACCAAAAACATTTTTATGTAAAGTGTTGCTAAGCCAGACCTTTGACTCGCACTGTCAAAAAGTTATCAGAGTTAGAGTCAACATTCTAACTCTATAAGCAATTGTTTCATAAACTCTACACCTTATTCAAAACATGTGGCTCGGCTGTTTCGCTACCATCAAATGGACATAAGGTGAAAAAAATTCTTCATCCTTCTTTACTGTTATATAATTTTTTTTCTTGTATAAATGAAACGGCACAAAGACATACAGAATACGACACATATCCCAGTGGTCTATTCGCCGATTGACATGAACGCAAAACACCACATTAAGCCTGGTTACCGAACAACGAAACAAAATACACAGCAACCGATATACATCGATACTTTCGCTGGTAATGCCTAGAAATTAGATCATATCTTCCGCGCTCAGTAGGAAATAGATTGTTTGTCCCCTTCGCTCAATGGGATTATGTAAAGCTGCCAATACCCTGTGGTATCTATCAGGTGAATAAATATTGCATCTACGAATGTCGGATTGTTTCTCATTTGAATTTTATTCTTACAATCTCCCGTTGATACCTGATCATTGATGTCAAATATTAACTCCAATAAATGATACTAACATATTTTAAGGCATAACAAAAATGTGAATTTACCAGATTTTCAAAGAACTTTTATACAGTTTTGGTGGTCCGCTAAATAATCTCTAAGTAACAATATTAATTTGCCCATTGGTTAAGCCTTAATTCTTTATTGCAATGACTACCAACCTAAATTAGAGTAAAGAGTATACCTACATTTTGCATTTAAAAAGATAATGTAGTTTGCAGGATAGTTAATTTTGAACTATACCAATTATATATATGCGCAAAACTTACTATTTTGTATTCTGTATCTTGTAGTACCATGATTCTGTGACAAGCTTACCTGAAAATAAATACAATTTAAATTAATAAAAATTCTTAACATAATTATTATCTTTATATAAAACCTTAACATTCAAAATGACAATTTTAACTTATTCTACCGCAATATTTTTATCCAGTCATTTTATATTATTTTGTTTTACATTCCAGATTCGAGAACTAAACCATCGAATTATCACGAGCTACTGTGATGCGGCTTAACATGTCGCCTGCTCAGCAGTTATCACGGAACATCGATGAGCCAATGCGCAGGAGCAAACCACCTGACAAACACACAAACAATCCTAAACTAGTCCACGCACAAGCCAAAGGGATATCAAATTATGCTATGATAGCAAAGGTGTACCTTTAAAGACAACCCAAGCTGTGATAAAATTAACAGGAAGATAATAAATTCGATTTTCGAAAATGGGTATCCACGTCCTGCTAGCATCTACAGCGCTAAAGACAATAAGTGTGACTGGCTTATGGTTGATACCTCTGTTGCTGGGAGCGCTTACTTATCACAATTATAATTCGTATGATCCAGAAGCTAAAGTTTTGGATAAAGAACCGAGAAAGGAGTATGATTTTGTTGTCATCGGAGGAGGTTCAGCTGGGGCAGTGGTTGCGAGTCGGTTATCGGAAGTCAAAAACTGGAACATTCTTCTATTAGAAACAGGTAAGAAAGAAAGACACAACTAACAGTTATTAAAAACTCATAGTCAAAAATACACTATATGATTATTTTAAAGTAAAAAAGTTTTCAAATTTCATTGATGACGTACACGTTTGCTCCGATGATATACATATACTCGTACTGTTGAATATAAAAACCGAACTGCTGAAAAGATTTTAATGAAATATCTCAGACCATTGAGAAAGTATACCATACCAAAAAAAAAAAAAACTCGTTATGACTGTACATAAAAAAGCATTTACTCCAATAAACAGACGAATTCAAAACTTCCACCTTTTTTGTTTAGAAGTCAGTTAAAAAGGCGGATATTTAAAATTTTAAGATTATTATTTAAAAAATTCAATACCCCCAATGGTGTAAAGAAAACCGACATTATTTAGCAAACTATTACACAACATAACAAGAAAATATTTTATTTATCAAAATTAAGAAATCTATTTACAAAAAAGCATTTAAATCTGTTTTCTCACCCATCACCCATTACCGTATCCGTGATCTCTGCAAAGTTATGCTTCTTTGATATTTTTTTCAATTGGTATTGATTCGTATCCAACCTCGACATTGTGCGTTTTTGCATGGAATAATCTCACTTTTTTATAATTAAGATTATGCGAAGCGAAATAGTATAATATTCTATTGTCAAGAATCTATGCAAGTTGTACACTAAAAATGGATGAACAACATTGAAATTGTTCGTCCAATACGAACGAACAAAAAACAAAAATTGCAAGACACATGAAAAAATACTGTACGCATTAGACAACAACACAAACATTATTCAACTTCAGATCAGAAGTAGTTAATCATTTGGATTATAGAAATCTAAAACAACGAAAATACCACATACTATATTTATCTGATAAAGAACCGAACCTGGTAGTTCAGATAATAATACCATCTACAGAGATCGTCAAAATAATAAAATAAACGAAAGAAGTAGTAAGGCTACTCAACAAATAATAAGGCTTTATAATAATTCTAAAACGACGACTTAATGATTCCAGGTCCAGATGAAAATGAAATAACTGACGTCCCTTCGCTAGCGGGCTACTTGCAGCTAACGAAGTTGGACTGGCAGTACAAGACCGAGCCGACCGCGTATGCATGCTTGGGCTTCAAGAAGAGGAGGTGCAGCTGGCCTAGAGGAAAGGTACCGTAATAATGGTTACTATGGTAAGATGGGACAAGGAGTGTTTTAAAAATTATCGTAATTTTAAACATAAGATTTGAACTTTAATCAAAATTACTACAAAAGAAAATATCTTGTGATTTTTTCAGTCCATTTTGGATAGGTAGAGAGAAATTTAATTTTGGTATATAGCAAATTTCGTGAAATACGTCTATAATTTTGTTTAAATAGTCTGTAATCGTTTAATCTTTGTGAGTACGACGAATATATTTATATACCAATAAACATGAATCATATATTTTTGTACAGGTGCTCGGAGGCTCAAGCGTACTAAATTATATGATATATGTACGTGGAAATCGGTTTGACTTCGATCAATGGGAGTCATTTGGCAATCCTGGCTGGGGATATCGAGAAGCTCTCAGATATTTTATCAAATCCGAAGACAACAGAAACCCATATTTAGCCAAAAGTAAATATCATGGTCGTGGAGGATACCTTACAGTCCAAGAAGCTCCTTGGAGAACACCACTAGTTGCCGCCTTCGTAGAAGCAGGCGTAGAAATAGGTTACGAAAACAGAGATGTTAATGGTGCAGTTCAGACTGGATTCATGATAGCACAAGGTACAATAAGACGTGGATCTAGATGCAGTACAGCCAAAGCTTTTTTAAGGCCAGTTCGAACTAGGAAAAACCTAGATGTATCCTTACATTCACAAGTGACAAGAGTGTTAATAAATCCTATGACAATGAAAGCTTACGGAGTGGAATTTGTCAAGCATGGAGTAAAAAGAGTAGTTTATGCGAGAAAAGAAGTTATTTTATCAGCTGGAGCCATAAATAGTCCACAGTTACTAATGTTATCGGGAATAGGACCTCAAAACCATTTGAGAGATGTCGGAATACGGGTTCTAAAAGATTTACCCGTTGGCGAAAACTTACAAGACCACGTCGGTGTTGGAGGTTTGACTTTTCTAGTCGACAAACCAGTTGCGATTGTCCAAAACCGTTTCCAAGCGTTTCCTGTAACTATGAATTATGTAGTAAATGAGCGTGGACCAATGACCACTTTAGGTGGTCTAGAGGGCATCGCATTTGTAAATACTAAATACGCCAACAGCACCGGTTTGTGGCCTGATGTACAATTCCATATGGCGCCAGCCTCCTTTTCATCTGACAATGGACAGATCGTTAGAAAAATTCTTGGCTTGACAGATGAGATTTATGACCAAGTATACAAACCAATAGCTAACAAAGATGCTTGGACTATAATGCCCTTATTGTTACGTCCAAACACAAGGGGCTACGTAAGACTAAGGAGTTCCAATCCCTTCCACTATCCGATAATGAATCCACGATACCATGAGGATCCCCTTGATGTCGCCAGGTTAGTGGAAGGGATAAAAATAGCTTTAAAAGTTGCAAGCGCATCACCTTTCAAACAATTTGGTTCTAGACTTTACATGAAACCTTTACCGAATTGCAGACAATATAAATTTATGTCAGACGAATATATAGAGTGTCAAGTGAGATCAATATCTATGACAATATATCACCAATCTGGGACCGCAAAAATGGGCCCAGCTTGGGATAAAGAGGCTGTAGTTGATCCAAGACTGAAAGTGTATGGTGTGGAAGGGCTTAGAGTAATAGATGCAAGTATAATGCCTACAATTGTGAGTGGAAATACTAATGCTGCAGTGATAATGATAGGGGAGAAAGGTGCGGACATGATTAAAGAAGACTGGTTAGGAGGAATGCGGTGACATTAAAGATAATATGCATAATTAAAAACTCTATAGAGTGAAAAGGTTGTAGTTCAATAATTATAGTTACCATTTTTGACCATTGCCAATTTGTAAATAGTCGTATGTTTTTTTGACGTATTGTTTTATGTTATCATTATTTTTAATAAGCGCATGAAATATTGAGAGCTTTAATTTATTTGCTAAAATATTAATATTTTTTAAAATATCTGCTAATGTCCTTAAATGCCGTTTAATTTTGGAATATATTATAATTCTCCATAAACGAGTAGAAAAGTCTGTTTTGTATTGGTATCTATCGACCGATAGCAACTGCACGCACTCGAGACACATTTATCATTTTTATATAGCATATTCCTTTATTTAGAATTGCTTAAAGAAATAAAACAAAAACAAACCTCCTCTTGATTAATAGACTGAATATTTCCATCTAAACAATTCACGTCATAATTTTAATGATCAATCGCCAATCAACAATAGCTTTCCGGAACAAGGAACTTTAATCTAATGGGATGAAATTACTTTCGACCATTACCTACCACTATTTTCGTACTTTGTAAGCAACTCATAAGGTAGAAAGTCGATTGTATATGTACTATGTATCTTTAATATAAGATTTTTGTAAATATTAGGTAGCTAGTTATGTTGGTATTTTGTATATATTGTAAATATGTTTACGAAATGTTGTACTCAATATTTTTGTATTCACTTAGAGAGAGTTATTGATTAGTTTATGCTTAGATTTCATCTTATTATTCTTATTATTAGTCAAAAGTTATTATTAAACAGAGACTCTGCTAATCCCACAACTTTCTAAAAATTATTCCCGTGTTACCATCGTACTAACATTGCTTTGTTTTTAATAAAATGAATTTTAATTATTACTAAGTTACTCCGACGCTAAATCTTGTTTTTTAATAATACTATGTTTCAATATTAAATTTTGGAATCCCACAATAAAGGTCTTTGTAATATATGGAACCATATATTACAAACCTTTTAAAAAAAATTAACATGTGAGATAAAAAGTTAGCAAAACATTAAATGTAATTTCCATTATAAAGTTGATTTGATGGCAGTTAAAAAGGAAGAAACAGAAAAATATAATTCCAATTTTTTTTTACACAAAAAACTTAAGTGATTAGATGTATTTGTAATTGACTGTGCCATAACTAGCTTGTTTCATTGTTGTAAGTTTATTCGCATGTTGTTCTGATGCACAATAACGTTCTCATTTTTGAAAGCATTTTGTTTGGACATTATATATTTAGAATATATTCTTTAAATCAGAAATATATTAGGAAGCTAGTGAGTGATATATGTGTGATATATATTTTGGAATGAGCTATTAAAAGAGGTTATTTCTTAAATATACTCAATTCTTCCTTAAAATGTAAAAAACCCATAAGCATTATACAAATTAAAAGTCAGCATTATTATTACAAATGATCGAAAATGTCTTGGAAGTTTAAAATATGATTACTGTGCTGGTAATAGCAATGTACAAGAATATTTTTAATATCTTATTTTTTTTTATTATCTGTTTAAATAATAATATTGATAAAATTTTATTTAAAATTTACAATATCGATTGTATAAATTACTTAGTAAAGGCTATTATCGACAGTAGCTATTTAAATATTTCTAGATCACTTGATAACATATATCTACCGTTTTAACAAGTTGTAACTTTTGAAATAGTTTATTAAAATAATATGATTTCCAGTTTTAATTACTGGCAAAATTAATGTTCTCTAATCAGGGAATATTCCCTACAACCATTAGCAAATTAATAATATTGTGTATTTTAATTGTGACACGTAACCTATTTGGTTGAACCTTGTTCGATTTGCTATAAATTGTTGTTATAAGTCATTACTTCCTAGAACGTTTCCTAGTTTGGCGTACTTTACACTCGACAATATGTTACATACGTGGTTTATTTATGTATACTGAGCGAATTATTAGTTAAGATATTGTTACAACTGATTGTTGCAATCTTATGTTATGAAATAATCTTTATATGTTACGTATAATGCCAAATAAATATTTTCATTTTTACATAATACTGTGTCATTATTTCACTTATTTAAATTGTTTACAAAATGTCTTCGCATAGCTTTTCAATGCGTTAGTAATTAGTATCTGACATATTAACCCTTATCTTAGTCAGAAGCCATCTTTTTAATGCTAATATAATTACTTTGTATTGAATGTAAATGTTTACTTCCGTTCTGTACTTAATTCAAAATTAGTTTTTATAGGGCCTTGTGTAAATAGTACAATAAAGCTTGTCACGCAAAGTCGTTTAATTATTTTCTACAATAGATCAGTTTCATTTTGTTTACAATTTGTGTAATTGTCTAGTTTGTATTAACGATTTTTTTTTAATCGGTATGTTGTTCTAGAATATATTACTAAATACGCTATTCACCGGAAGGGTTGTAAGTATCAAGTTAATATTCAAATCAAATATGTACTTACTTAAATCTGCTGCCATAAGAGATGTAAAGAAAAATGAAAAATTCAGTTTTTATGCTGCACATTCGCAAAGGAACTAAAACCTATTTATAGATGCTAAATGTTGCTCTACAAAGAAACCAAATTGATTAACTTATTTGCAGTTAGTGAACTGATCGCGACATATATCGATGTTTAAAGACTGTTTTGCCTGTCAATGCAACAAGTAATTCATTTTGATAATACTAAAGTATCGAGTTTAAAACAATTATTAAATAATTCTCATTATGTATTAAGATAATATATACACATACGAAAGTAAATAAAAATTCTATAAACATTGAATTTAGAAAGCATTACTCCCACCCAATACATCTCTATCCGCTAATAACATTATACTTGATCTATGCCAGTAGACTATTGGACCAATTTCATAAAATTAAACAGTTTGTTACACAATTCTAATTCAAAATTCGAATTCTAAATAATTTATGCAATCTAAGGTCTAGATTCTAGTCTAATATTTATAATTTCAAACTTGTTTGAAAGACGATAAATAAATCTTATTATTTGAGATATAGGCAACAGATATTGTATATATTCTTATTTAAAATATTATCTATCAATATCTTCTCATCAGATCTCTTGCGAGATAGGCAGAGAAGACCGTGTGGAGAGAGAAGGTAATGCCCTTACACACGTCTTTCGTCACGTTAGTTACTCCTCGCCGATTGTTCTGGCTTTAGACATCACTTTCAAACACGCGATTAATATGATCGCGAAAGATGAGCATCGGTGACCTGGTAATTCAGGGATGCCCACTCCAACACCGCCTTCCCACTTCCATGAAGCTTTATCTTAGCCTACCAAGACTTAATCAATTCTGAAATTCCAAAAATACTTACCCGAATTACTGTCAAAAAGATCTTATTGCTAAAGGGATGAATACACTTTAAGAATTTCTAAAGCGATTTCGCCAAATTATTGCACTCTAGAGTCTCTTTAGCCCGAATGAATAGGTTCTTTTTGAGCAGACTCTATCTTAAATCACAACTTGTCCCATAACACTAAATGGCAGCAAAATGTTAACCTTGTCTAAAAAAACAAGAGTATCACCTTTACAAAAGTTTCAATTAACCACAAACGAGTGTGTGTGAGAAAGGTATGAACCATTTAATATTATGGAAGAAGAAACGCCTGCATAAATATTACAAGCATTTTCAAATGACCGATAAGTTTCTATTGAATTTACAAAGGCGTTAGAAGCGAGCAATGTTTATATTACAATCGCTCACTGAATAGTACAGTGGCACAACTCTAAAACCATAATTTCGAGAAACGCTAAGTTATGAAAATTTAATATATATATATATATATATATATATAATTATAATAATATTTTTTTTTAGCATAACAGTTAAATCGTTTGTATTATACTATTACTGTTAAATTTTTTATTTTTTCTTTTAATTATCTATGGGATGCCACCACAATGTTGTGGCGTTTTCTCGAAATAATAGTTTTTGAGTTGTGCCACTGTACTATTTCATAACAAGTATAACCACCATAAATGCTTTCTAGCTGAGCCTTATTCTGGGTGGAGATTCGAGTCACAATATATTTTGCAAAGTTAAATAAGATTATGAATAGTTGTATGAAAGAAGAAATCAAATCGTAGAAACGTAGACATAAACGAGATTTTTTTAAATGATGACGTATAAAAATTAAATAAAACACCTTTTAAATATAGTTTCAATACCTAGTAGACAGTGGCGCTAATTTTGTTGTACCATCCTTACGTCAGTCTTGTTAGGTCGTGGGTAGCTCAGTGGTTAGAGCAGTCCTCCGGATTGCGAAAGGACATGGGTTCGAGACCCATATCAGAGTGCCAGGGACAAAGTAGATATTTTGAGCATTTTTTATTAAAATTAGTATTTTAGTTAATACAAAATGTGGATTGTATAAATATCTTATTGTACATCCTTTTGTAATGTTATTTGTGGTGGAAATAAATAAATATTATTATTATTATTAAATATTATTATTATCTAATTGGAATCAACTTTCACGACTATTATGGGTACCTTTGCTATTATAAGGACAAATATATGTCTTTAAATAAGATTCTATAAATAGTGTAAAGTTAAAATATTTATTATATTTAATAAAAGAACTTCTAAAATAGATTAAATTATAATTTTAAACGTCTAAAAATATAATAAAGTCTATTTCAGTCTTATGTTATAAATATTATTTTATTTTTAGACTATTACATATTTTATACAATATTTATACGATCGATTGATCGTATACATTTTAAAATTATAATTTCATAAATGAAATATTTGTACGCCGAACTAGGCAGTATTTTGATAGTATAAAACTTTGCTACAAAACCCTTGTTTAAGTTTCTATACCCGAAAATTCGACATATTAATTCCTTTCATATCGTTGATGTTTTTTATTTCTCATCATCATCATCATCATCAGCCGGAAGATGTCCACTGCTGAACATAGGCCTCCCCCTTTGAACTCCACGA